GTGGTAGTCTAAAACAGGAGCTTCCAAGTTTGGCAACTTTAAGACTTGTGGACTTCAACTCCCAGAATTCCTCAGCCAACTGAGAGTTGAAGTCCACAATTTTTAAATTTGGTGAATTTGGAGACTCCTGGTCTAGAAGAATGTGTGCAGTAAACTTGCTTTTAAAATGAAATGAGTTTCAGCCTCAGCCTTAAATACAGAACATTAAGGATGTCAGAGATGTCAGCCTTGAGAGTCCAGACAAGAACATACCTAGTAATACCAGCATTAACTGTATGCCTGTTGTCTGACTGTTCTGCCCCCACTACACGTTAGTCTGTGTGTAGCTCGACATGCAGCTAAACCCACCTATCTTCCAATAAAGCAGACTGTGTGCCTAGATCTGAATGCTTTATTGAAAGAACAGGATATGGTGAAACGGGGGAAAATAGGGATACATACAATGAGAACCAAATACAAGATAGGTAGTATTAAGTTACTGCTGAACATAACAATTAATAAATACAAGCAATTTAAATCCCACCAGCACTGTGTGGGATGTGGGTTTGTCCTTGGATGACCATGTGCTTCTGCCTTCTCCAAATGCTAAAGGAAATGGAATCTGGCTTCCCAGCAAGCACTTGGTTTGAGAGTCTCAAAAAGTAGATGAGAGTCTCAAAAAGTAGATGAGACTAGAAGGCAACAGCAGTATATAAAGATCTTATTGTGTGGCTTGACACTGACTGTTGTCTAGTCCGTGTTCTTTTCTCCTGTCTCCCAAGGTCGTTCCCACATGCCATTACAGAGATTAAAATATAGTCATTGCTGTACCAAATATTGTAGATCATTTATATTTATAATATTTTTATACCTCCTTTCTATTTTCCTAGCATGGCTTATATTAATGAACATTTGCACTGTATCAGTAAAATACCAGCAGCTACTTTCTGGAATAACTCTCTGTGGCTTGGTTTTATTCATTTTTTAGGGATCGAATCTATACAGGGTAGAAGGGAGTTTTGATTCCTGTTTCCCAGACACCCTCACCTTGGAAGAGGGCGATCTAGTGCAGTTTATTCAGGAAGGAGAGAATGGACAATGGTAAGTAAATTATATCGTATCTGCTCCAGAGGTGGGTATTCAGCAGGTTCTGACCAGTTCTGGAGAACCGGTAGCGGAAATTTTGAGTAGTTCGGAGAACTGGCAAATTTCTGACTGGAGATTTTATAGTATCCTTCCCCCGCCACACCCATTAAGCCACACCCACAGAACCGGTGGTAAAAAAATTTGAATCCCATACTGATCTGCTCATACAATTTTTAAATCATAATTAAAAGGGAAAAAATGCTTTCCTTGGGTTCTTGGCTAAATCTTGAAGAAAAAAACAGAAATTGAAGGAGAAGGAAGAAAGGAGTGATTGTCTGGAAGAAAAAAAAACCTTTAATGATAATAGATGAATTTATAATTAATTTCCCAACCTCTAATTGCTTTCTACAAGAAGTATTTTTATGTGGACTGACTTTACAATCCTATATTAACTCAGAAAGATTTTATGCTATACAGTACCAGCAGTGGCTGAAATGTGGGGGGAAAAAAGGAAATTAATTTTTTCTTTTTCCAAACTCAGGTTAGTGAAGAAGCTAGTTTCGGAAAAAACAGACTGGATACCTTCCAGCCTGTTACAACCAGCAGAAAGTGAAGCCAACAGCAGTTGTAGAATCAGCAATTCAGGTAAGTCATACGCAAAGTTTGAAAAGTTTTATGTTTCTAATTTAATTATGCATTCCTAAACAGTAAAAAAAATTCTGGCATAGCATTTCTTTGGGAAGACAGAGCATTGATGAGCTGTAATATTCTTATCATAATAATTATTAATATCCCAAACGTGATGGGATGCACAAAGGTAAAGATAAAGGTTCCCCTCGCACATACGTGGTAGTCTTTTCCGGCTCTGGGGGGCACTGCTCATCTCCGTTTCTAAGCCGAAGAGCCAGCACTGTCCGAAGACGTCTCCGTGGTCATGTGGCCGGCATGACTAAACGCCAAAGGCGCACGGAACGCTCCTACCTTCCCACCAAAGGTGGTCCCTATTTTTCTACTTGCATTTTTACATGCTTTCGAACTGCTAAGTTGGCAGAAGCTGGGACAAGTAATGGGAGCTTACTCCATTACGGGTGCTAGGGATTTGAACTGCTGAACTGCTGACCTTTCTGATCAACAAGCTCATTCTTATCATAATAATGTACGCATTCATATCCCAAACGTGATGGGATGCACATATGTGCCTGCAATTAACAAACTAGTAACATGCATGGTGTGCATAAGCGCACCAACGTGCCTACCGTCCCTGTTCTATTGTTTCTTTTATTTTTCTTATATGTACCCATTTCATGTATTCATAACTAGGCATACACTTATACCTATTATCTTGTAAGCGATTGACAAATCAAAATAAATAAATAAATAAAATAAATAAACATCAATAAGCCCCAGGGCTTTCTTCATCCCTCCTCATCCAGCCCCCCACCCCCTCAACAAAATTGGTTTTTAAAGCCAAATCCAAAATCTTACCTGCCTGGTTATCTTCATTGAATAATCTTTTGTTTTCAGATTCTGTCTTCGAAGTTAATAGACCTAAAATTGTCTTTCAGCCATACTTTTTAGAGAAATATATTATTTATTTATTTATTTATTTTATTTGTCAAGCAAGTTTTAGACAACAGGTATAAGTATAAGCATGGTTATGAATACATGAAATGGATACGAATAAAAAGAAACAATAGGACAGGGACAGTAGGCACGTTGGTGCGCTTATGCTCGCCCCCTACAGACCTCTTAGGAAAGGGGTGAGGTCAATAGTAGACAGTCTAAGGTTAAAGTTTTTGGGGTTTGGGGAAGAAACCATAGAGTGAGGTAGAGTATCCCAGACATTGACCACTCTGTTGCTGAAGTCGTATTTCCTGCAATCAAGTTTGGTGCGTTTTACCTTGAGTTTGTATCTATTGTGTGCTCTTGTGTTGTTATGGTTGAAGCTGAAGTATTCATTCACAGATAGGACATTGCAGTAGATAATTTTATGTACTATACTTAGATTGAACCAAAGGCTGCGTAGTTCTAGGTAGTCTAGGTCTAGAATTTCAGGTCTGGTGGCATAAGGTATTCTTCTACGAGTAGAGGAGTGGAGAACCCATCACTAACCATGAAAAACATGTAAGGGCCAAAGAAATGAGGGTGCAGTACATTTACCAGAATGGGAGGGAAGGAAGGGGCAATGAGATGGAAGATGAATGAAAAAATGCAACTTTATACTTGACTTACAACCATTCATTTAGTGAAACGAATGGCACAGGAAAAAAGTGACCTAGGGCTGTTTTTCACACTTAACGACCGTAGCAGCAATCCCCATGGTCACATGATCAAAGTTAAGGAGCTTGGCAACTGACTCATATTTATGACGGTTGCAGTGTCCTGGGATCAAGCGGTCCCCTTTTGCGACCTTCTGACAAGCCAAGTCAAGGGGGAAACTAAATTTCACTGAACGACCGTGTTACTAACTTAACAGCTGCAGTGATTTACTTAACAAACTTGGCAAAAAAGGTCGTAAAATGGGGCAAAACTCCCTTATCAACTGTCTCACTTTGCAACATAAATTTTGAGCTCAATTGTGGTTGTAAGTCAAGGATTACCTGTATTGTGAGCTTCTTTGAGTTGAGGAAGCGTTTCAAAGTTGTATTGGTGATTTGGGACCTAGAAGGAAACTCCGGCAGAAAATTGACACTGGGGGCAGCTTCCACGAAAGCATCTCTAAAAGTTGTCCCACTTGAGTGGTACTCTTGATTCCTGTAGTCAGCAATTTTTTTCTCTGGAAATCCACTCCTATTCTCACACCATTCAAAGTGTGTTCATCCCAAATTCTATCGCTAAAAGTCTGTGTAGAGTCATCCAGGTCATGGTAATCCCAGAGGTACTTTTTCAGGAGGCAACTCGGCTTCCTTTTTTTTTTTTCTTTGAAGATGTTTCGCTTCTCATCCAAGAAGCTTCTTCAACTCGGACTACAGGAAGCAGGAGCACTTACTCAGGTGACCCCGAGGACACAGATAAACCTCCAAGTGGCCTCAACGGCACTCTAAAAAAGGATGCAAATGACCAGCAAGGAGTATAAATCCTTCCGTTCCCCATCATCCAGTCAGAGCTGAAGAAGCTTCTTGGATGAGAAGTGAAACATCTTCAAAGAAAAAACAAAAAAGTCCAGTTGCCTCCTGAAAAAACACCTTTGGGACAACCATGACATGGATGACTGAGAATCTCTACAGACGTTTATCTCTCAAAGTTACATCGGTATTACTGATCCTGCTGGTGCATTCTCATTTCAGATGTTTACAGCGATACCCACAGCTCTGCATCCACAAACTCAGAAATGAAGGTGGAAGAGCTGAACAGAAGTTTAACAGCTGGACAGAAAGCTGGAAGCTGAGTAGACCAGGAAACATCTCCTCAGGGCTCAATCTTCTTTGTTTACTTGCAGATGCTGGACCAAATTGCCTTTCCACCCCCATCCACCCCAAGCTCCAGATTTCACAATTCAATATTTTGTCAACGTGAAACACATTAAAAAAAAGAAGAAGAAGAAGAAGAAGAAGCTAGTCAATTTCAAAACCAGTTAAACTTCCAGAGGTGTCCAAGTTACCTTAGTGTTTGACAAAACACACTCATCGTATGCTTTATTTGCACTGCATTTTTGAGCGTCGAAAATTAGCCTAAATTAGACAGACAGACAACAGATTGGGTTGATATACACCCCGCTCAGGTTCAGGGCGGCGTGCTGGATTCTTGAAACTCAGATCCTCGAGGTGATCTTCTCTTGGGCAGAATGAAAGGTATTCGTTCGCCAGTTTGGATCAGCTGCTGGGGCCCTCGTTTTCCGTGGCTCGATCTACCCACACGTGCTGTTATCTCAAGACAATCAAAACCAGGGGAGCCCCCCCCCCCCCCCCAAAAAAAAAAATCAAAGCTGAGTGACGATGAAGAAAGTGCAATTCCTGAACCTGAGCCAACGTCACACCTTTGCACGACAGCGAAAGGTGTTAACTTGCTGTGGGTTACGTGTAATCCTTTGTGTCTCTAACAGGGTGTTTTGGATGCTAACGGGAAGCAAATCCATAGCAAAGGGGAATGAGGCTTTTGTGAAGGCAATTCTGGGATGTAACACCGACAAGCCAGCTTTGTTCCCCTCCGGAAGCTTCGCATCCAGTTCTGTCTAATGCTGCAATTCAGTGTTTTACACTTGTGTGGAATGCGTTTGGGCATTGTCCTATGCTGGGCTCTGGATTAGAATACAGAGTTTCTACCCCACCCCACCTCAAATATTTAATAACCCACCCACCCCCGTATAATGTCTCTCTTCCCCATCCCTCCCCCACCCCAAATGAGGTACTTTCAAAGGTGAATGGTTGCCAAGGAGAATGTGTTGTTGCTTGAAAGTTTCTTGCCATGTCATATTTCGGTGTGGGGGGTGGGGTGAGCATTGCAGCCCTCTGAACAATATCATGAATTTGCCATAAGTACAAAATAAAATCAGCCTGGTTCCATTTAAAAGCTTCAGAGGCTGTCATCCTGCTTAAACAATACAGAACAACATAGTTAGAAGGTCTTTTAGTCTCAAGCAAGAGACGCTATTCCAACGTTTCTCAATCTTGGCCGCTTTAAGGTATTGGACTAACTCCCAGAATTCCACTGCTAGCCATGCTTCATCAACCGCCAAACATTTATTATATGAAAATAACAAAACTTTAATTAATAGCACTATGAATAATAATAATAATAATAGCAACAGCGGCAACTATTTGGATAGTCCCATCAACCTTTTGTGGAGAGGTCATTAGTGACCATTTTGGAGCCTTGATTGAGGGCAGGGATGTCTAACTTGTTAACTTTAAAACCTGTGGACTTTCAACTCCCAGAATTCCCCAGCCAGCCATGCTGCTGCATTGGATTCTGGGAGTTGAAGTTCACTGCTCGTAAAGGGGCCATAGTGGCCCACTCCTGGACTGGTGGCACAGGGGAAGCCTTGTTGATGCTTTCCTGGTGCAAGGGCTCATGGGATACCAGACTTTCTTAGGGAAGGAAGGCAGGAACTTTGTCATCCTAAAAATGGGTCCTGGGGATAAGAGCAGTTGAGAAATGCTAGCTGGGCAATTCTTTGCTTTCAAGGCTACAAGTCTTAAAAGTTGTCAATGTTGGGGCGCCCGTTTCAGGAGTTTTAAGATTCGGATGGGCTTCCAGATCTCCTGGTATTTTCATCCAGCAAACTGAGCCAAACCGTATGAGACAACAGTGTAGCCTGTGTGGCATAAACTGGTTCTTTAAACCAGGGCTCTCCAACCTTGGCAACCTTAAGACTTGCAGACTTCAACTCCCAGAATCCCTATGAATTCTGGGAGTTGAAGTTCTCAAGCCTTAAAATTTGCCGCGGTTGGAGGCCCCTGCTTTAAATCATGCATGCATGTATGATAAGACCGGTAATGAGAGATTGTAACTTTAAAGCAGCATTTGTCCACCTCAGCAACTTTTAAGATGGTTGGACTTCAATTCCCAGAATTCCTCAGCCAGCAAGGGAATTCTGGGAGTTGAAGTCCACCCATCTTAAAGATGCTAAGGTTGACAGACACTGGTTTAAACAATGGGAATCCTATCGGGGTATCTTTTAATTTCTGATCTGCTTTACTAAGTACCACATGAATTGACCAGGAGTCACATTGACAACAATCTTGAGGCATGTAGATAGAAGAGAGAGAGAACAAAAGATTCTTGCATCCCAATTCAGCAAGAGGTTTTCTGTGTGTTTGCATTTGTCAAGAAGACGCCTGTTATTACACACTCACGCACACTCCAGGGCCCTTTTGAGTTTCCTTGATCCAGAGACGCTTGTCGTATTGGTTTGTTTGTTTTTTTTTAAAAAAACACACACCTTATACTGCCCAATTTTAGTGGCACGATTAGGAGGTTGGAAATTTGCAAAAATTGGTGATGAAATACAGTTGAACCCAGCATTTAGTACGGTACAATGGATAGATTCCCTTAGAACACACTGTGGCACCTTCTAGATATATTTGCATTAAATAAATTCCCTAACTTTCCCATTCTTTCCTTAAATACACTGAACAGCTTTGAAAAACATCTGGGATCAGAAAGATAGCATGCTACAGGTAACCCTTGACTTACCACCATTCGTTTACCAATTGTTCAAAGTCAGAACAGCGCTGGAAAATGTGACTTCTGACCAGGAGGGGGCTCACATGACTTTTGCAACATCCCTGCTGTCACATGATCAAAATTCGGGTGCTTGGCAAAAAGCATATATTTATAAAGAGTTGCAGCGTCCTGGAATCACATGATCACTGTTGGCAACAAGTAAAGTTAATAGGGGAATCCGGACTAAATTAACAGCCATGTGATTCGCTTAACAGTGCAGCGACTCATTTAACAACCATGGGGGGGGGAAACCAGGCACAATTCGCTTATCAACCGCCTTGCTTACCAACAGAACCTCTGGTCTCAATTGTGATCATAAGCTGAGGACTACGGTACCTGTATTTAAAATCCTCTTCTGTACTGTGTTAGCCCCAGAGCTGCTAAATTCTGCTGCTAAAACTCCTGCAAATGTTATTTGCAGGGGCGGGAAAGGAGTTAAAAGAAGAAGAAAAATCAAGGTGGCAGCCATGGCCACCTAATCAAAGCCCCACCTCTTTTTGTACCTGCCACATAGAAAAGAGACGAGGCTTTGGTTGCATCCTCTTGATGGCTGCTCTCTTGACTTGGTTATCTCTTCCCTAAAGATGTCCTTGATGACTTGGCCCGGGAACTGTAATTTTTAAATTTGTTTTCCACGTTGAGGATAATGTTATTTGTGGTTCATCGTTGCTGGAAGAGAAGCAGGAAAATCCTGCTTTCTTCCCTTGTTTCTTGTTATCAGGACCGAATGTATGAATGTACTCCAAAATGTGTGTTTGTGTGAAGCTGAACTTTCTGTAAATAGACCATTACGAACTGTGTAAAACCAGTCCTTGTTTTGACTTTCTAAGAATTATAAATACCATGTTACAAAACCCATTGCGATCTTTTTCCTTACTTTCAAATGCGACGTGAAAATGAGATCCATCCATCCCGGAAGATAAAACCAAAACATAAAGACTCAAAGGAGATCTGGTGTTAATCAACCGAATTCGTCGTTTCTTTTTTTTTTCTTTCTTCCTTTTGTTAAATGCAACAAGATTATTGGGAGGGACCTTTTGGCCATTTTGAAAGAAAAATCTCCTTTCTGAGAGCTAAACATTGATTGGAAGGAGTCTGTCTCACAGGAAATATGCAAACACTGCTGTCATCATGAAAACATCGCAGTTTAGCATCCAAAACTAGTCAGAAGTATGCCATGATCCATTGTTTTGCCAAGTGTCAGGGCAGTGATCAGATGCCCAGGCAATTGATTCATTTGGATCCAGGCACAATAAAAGTTTCCAATAAATAAAGGGATTTTAAGATTAATTATTAGCTCTAGTAAATAGATTTAAAAGCGTAATATATAAACATACACGCAAGCAAAGGTGAAATCCAAATCTCTTACAAGGTGTCAGGAGCGCCTTAATAATGACGGCAGAGATACCCCGAAGGCGGTCAGGTTCCACAAAACTCAGTTCCCAATAATCAACAACAACCCCAAGGTTTTGTCAAAACTTGACAGAATGACTTCATGGCCCGGCTTTTACAATGACAAGACTGCAAGACCTTGATCTTGACTGAAGGGCACCTGATAATGGGGTAGGAACTGAAAGTGAGAGATTTTCACAGCTTTGCATCTATGTAAAGATTCTCCCACTTCTTTATTCGGCATGCAAGAATTAAAAAAAGCAAGCAGGTCAGCTCAGAACTGTAGACTTTTCTTAATACGAAGGAGAAATTGAAATTGCCACTAATCTCTTTGCAATAACAATGGTCTTCAGCATTACCATTACATCCATCCATTTAAAAAATAATTATTAAAGAATCATGTCAGAACCCAAAGCAGGTGACTAAATCAGAATTATATTACTGACCATTATTTTCCAGAGTAAGGTAACTCCAATTCCTGATAGTATAAATTCATGTTAGGCCTTTGTTTGCCCAGCCAATAAAACTCAGAATATATTTATGATGGCTTTTTATTACGTCTATGGAGATTCTCAGTTGTCCAGGTGGTGGTTGTGCCAAAGGTACTTTCTTTCAAAATGTTTTCTTGTATTGCTAGAAGACACCTTTTTGTCCAAGAAGCTTCTTCAGTTCTGAGTGAATGGTGGAGAATGGACGGATTTCTATCCCTAAGGCTAACAACCACATGACTGCAAGGAATACAAACCCTTCCATTCTCCATCATTCACTCAGATCTAAAGAAATTTCTTGGATGAGAAGCTAAATGTCTTCTAGCAAAACAAGAAAACCCAGTTGCCTTTTCAAAGCTGTTTTTATTATGCTGGAATGACCATAGTTAACATGCTACAAAAGTGTGAACATTAACAAGCAGTACAACAAAGAGCCCAGTCAAAAGATGATTTCTTATTATCCGTGACAGATTTTTCTGGTAAGAAATAAATAAAAAGAAACATTGCTAGGAAATGCATGAATGTTAAAAATGGGAGGCAATGACCATGGATGGCCTTTACAATTCAGTGAATTAAGCAAGGAAATGACAAGATCAAAAGCTTTGGAAGAAGCGTTCAAACAAATCAACCAAGTAGATTTACTGTTTAAGTGCTACAACTATATGCAATGCTATTTTTGACCACAAGGAGGCAAAAGAAGGTTTTAGGAAAGATTTAATGTATATATTATTTCACTAAAGCAGGGGTGTCCAACCTTGGCAACTTTAAGACTTGTGGACTTCAACTCCCAGAATTCCTCAGCCAGCT